ATGGGAGAGAATGGATAGTAGTGTGTTCATGCCTTCTGGTGGAGGGGGGGTGGGGATGGTTCTTACTTTCCGTCTTTCTCCCTCTCTCTACAGAGTGTACATGTGCCCTATAGTAATTTTTTTTTTTAATATTTGTCTACAAGATCCTCTAAGCTTTTAAAAGAATTACTATCAGCTGGAAAATCTTTAAATCATATATCCTGGCAAAAGCAATTTTAAGTATAGAAATACCTTCAATTTTGGTAGTTTCACAAAATCAGAGTAGAAAATCTCTTAATTGAAGTTCAGGAACATAGTAAAGAAATCAGCCTGGTTTTATTCCCAAATAATTATTCTGACTTTTGTCTCTAATTTTCAGCCTGGTTTTGTCCCCAAATAATTATTCTGACTTTTGTCTCTAATTCCATTGCCACTTGGGTCTCCTGTGGGTAGAGGTCTGTGACAATAGCCTTGGCTTCATTTCTGTTGTCAAGCCTGATGATTATAACATCAGTTAGCCACATTTTCCCCTTCAGCTGCTTCTGATGGTGTTCACTGCTTCTTTTGGAGGAGACAGTCTTTTCTGTGCATGGAAGGAGATTGTTTTCCCTCTCTGGATTTATAATAGCCTATGATTAGGAGAACTGTACTGCAATGAACCATATGGTAAATGTCTTAAAGTGCTGAGTTTAACCTTACAATGTATGTGTGGGAATTTATTTATTTTTTACCTTCAATCACTGTGTATCACGACAGCATACTGAATGAATGTTTCCATCATGAACACACTGTGTACTGATTCACCCAAAGACACTACCGTACAAAGCAAATCCTTGTCCAAACTTGGAAGCTATAAATATAATCATTTATTTGGTAATTTAATACTTAATACTTGCCCACTGTGTCTAGGATCCTGCAAAAAGTAACCCTGCTACAATTCCTGCTTTGATGTAATGGTAATAGATTAAAAGAGAGTTTTAATATCACAAAGTATCTTCAGGGGAGACATTATTAAAGATCCAGGATTTAGCAGGAGTCTTTACATTTTATGACAGTGAGAGTAAGAATTTAAGACTAAGTACTACACATGGCTGAGGTATTGTTAGCATAATCTGTAGGTTTCATACTGAAGGAAGCACTGTTATAGGTGGAATTATGTCCTCTCCCCTCCCCCAAATATGTTGAAATCCTGAACCCCCAGTATCTCAGAATGTGATCTTATTTGGAATTAGAGTCTTTACAGCTAAAATGAAGCAACTAGGGTGGGCTCTAATCCAATATGACTGGTGTCTTTATACAAAGGGGAAATTTGGACACACAGAAAGATATAAACAGGAAGATGATAAGCAAACACGTAGGGAGAGTGCCATGTGAAGACAAAGGAGTGGAGTGATGCACCTGCAAGCCAAAGGATGCCCAAGAGTAACAAAAGATAGGATAGAGACCTGAAGAGACCCTTCCCTGGTACTCTCAGAGGAAGCACAGCCCTGCCAACCCCTTAGTTTCAGATTTCTGGCCTCTAGAACTAGAAGACAAAACATATCTTTTATTTTATCTTATTATTATTATTTTTTAGGGTTGAGCCATAGGGCATAGGTGCTTGCTGGAGAGATACAGAGACAGTGAGAGGGAAACTGAGAAATCATTCCCCAGAGGTGGCCATACTACAATCCGTTCTCCTCTCAGGATTTTGGGCATGCACACATGCATACCTGGCATGATTTTTAAGCCTCTAGGTCCAGTACTTGAACCATGGTTGGCCATTTGTGAGTCCAGCACCTTAAATGCCATGCCACCTGTAGGCAGGCCCCAAGTATTTTTTGTTTTAAGTCACACAGTTTGTGGTACTTTTTTAAAGTGGTCTTTATGACTATCAAATTTTCTTTTATCTTTAATTTTGACATGGATTTGCATGCTCTTTTATAAGACCTTAAAAATCATATCATTCCTGACATTACAAAAAAAATCAAAAAAAAATCTGCTTAACATTTAATCCATGATATAATCTGAACAATATCAATGATTATTTAATGTTCAAGTGAACAGGGTCTATTTAGTGTATTCTGAATGGGAAAACTAATTTTGTATGCTGTAATGAAATATAGTGAGTGACTGTAAAATAAATTTAAAATAAAAAAAATGGAAGTCTAAAGCAATATAATTATCGAGAGGAAAGAGGAATTAATGAAAAAGATAAGATTCCTTTGAGATTAAATCACTTAACTTTTTTGTTTTAAATTTGCCAGAGGCATGTGTGCTTGCTGGACAGAGACAGAGAGAGGGAGAGTGACAAAGCACTCCCCATGGGGAATGGTCATGCCACAATCCCTTCTCCTCCATCTCTCCCTCCTCTGGCATACACACACAAGTGCCTGGCATATCTTGCAAACTGTTGGGTCCAGGACTCGAACCACACAATCAACCATGTGAGATTCAGTTGCCTTAACCACCACACCACCAGCTAGTCCCATTTAATTTTTTGCAAAGCTATACAGTTATCAGTAAATCAACTTTTTATTTTTGTGAGTAGTATAAACTTATTGCTATGTTAAATTCTATCAATGATCATTTCTGTATTTTCAAGTTTCTTTCATGAGAGAAAGAGGAGCGAGGAAAGAGAGAGAGAGAGAGAGAGAGAGAGAGAGAGAGAGAGAGAGATCCTCACAGGAGTCTTGCAAAGATCCTCCCCAGTCTCCCCAGGCAGGAGTACAGGTATGTGTGTACCACCATGTACTGGCTGATCCAGGAACCAAACCCTAATATTTCACATGGCTTCTAAGACTGCCAGAGTACTACACTACCACTTCATCACAGTGCCCGAAATCTCTTCTCCCTTTTTTAAAGAGCTTTTAAATATGTTAGCTTAGTATTTTTACTGCATTAAGTTTAGTATACACTCATTTCCTTTCCATCCAATTAAGAAACCTAGGGTTTTAAACTGCCTTAGTATATCCAACTGATTATCAAAGTCATACACAGTTTTCTTCATTTTATTCCCATATAACTGTGACTTTGTTTTCTTAGCTTCTGATGTAACATCTGGCATGTAGGATGTATTCAGTAAGTATTTCTTCAATGTAAAAGCCAGATATAAAACCAAGTTTAGAAAAGAAACATAATACAGGCATTCATAGTGCAAGGGCAGATGGCTGGATATTTTTATAACTTTTTTTTTTACAGAAGTATTTACTCTTAACCATTAAAATTGACTCTTGGTGTTGATAAGTCTAAACAAACTACCTTATCAAAATATGTAAATTCCTCTGAGTGATATTTTTTCAGTTTGATAAGGTTTGTCTCATGCGCCTCTTCCTACTGTTTGAACTTAAATCCCTCCTTTGGAACTAAACTGTTAGATTAAAAACTATTTAATTTATTTACTATCTAATCTGGCCCTTTCTCCTTTTGAATTACCAGCCATGATCCTCCTGGTGTTCATGCCCTTGTGTCATCCCCTTCCCTTGAGTTGGGGTGGGACCTGTGACTTGCTTCTAATCAATAGAATATGGCAAAGTTGACAGGATGTCACTTCCATGGCCGTTTCCTAAAACTGATCTCTCTTGCTAGCACTCTATAGACTTCTTTTGCTGGCTTTGATGAAGGAAGCCATCATGTAGGGAGGTCCTTCCCCATAATACAACTGGTACTAGTTTTTACTGCTGTATAATTACTATAAACTCAGTGGCTTAAAACTACATGTAGTTATTATCTCATGAAAAGTAAGGAGTCTGGGCCTTGCTCAACTGGGTCTACTCAGGGTCTCACAAAGCTGTAAGCAAGGAGTTGGTTAGGGCTGAGGTCTAATCTGAGGATTGGGGTCCTCTTCCAGGCTCACTGGTTGTTGGCAGAATTCAGATGCTTGCAGTTGTAGGACTGAAGGCCTCAGAATCTATAGGCTGTCTCCAACTCCCTGGCACGTGACCTTCTCCATAAATATGGCAGCTGGCTTTTTCAAAGCCAACATGAGGGCATTTCTGTTGCTTTGAATCTCTGACTTCTTCTGTCTCAGACCTGTAGAGCCCCTTTGAAAGGGCTCAGCTGATTAGGTCAGAGCCATCTGGGATTATCTACATTTTGCTTAAAGTCAACTGACCAGGAATTATTACATTTCCAAAATCTTTCATTTTTCTATCTAATATAGCCTAAGCAAGGGAGTGACATATGTCATATTAACTGGCCCCACCAACACTCAAAGGAGAAGAGATTATTTAGGGTATGTGGCACAAGCAGGCAGGAGCCTTGGGGACCATCTCAGAATTCTGCCTACTACAACTGGCATGTCTTAGTACCATTTAAGAGATTTACTTCCACTTGGTTCCTATAGTTTACATTTTGGTATTTTTGCAATACTGTACTAGTACTATAGTGACAATAGTCAACATTTTTTTATTACATTTACCTTTAACACAATTAGAATCCTACTAAGTAATATAATATTTACACAGAAGACTATTTTGTTTGTGATTTAAAAATCAAATCTACTCTGGACTAACATTATAAGAACAGCCCTTATATATGAAACACAAATACGGAGTTTTCTTTTCCTTTGTTTTAAGTGGGGCAGTAGTTGTCTCTGTGACTGAAGAGTAAAATCTTTTCTTCATAAGGTGGAATGGGGAAAATAAAGATAGTCTGCTCCATGGAATAAGTAGTTCCTGAGAGCAAAGGAAAGCAGTATTTCCATCAGAGCAGACTTAACAGCCTTATCTTTCCCATTCTTTGTGGCAAAGCACTGTGTGCCTGAGCCAAACGTGGTTACCACTGTCAGTGCTGCAGACAGCTGAAATGAGAAGCCTGGCTGTGTTTGGTTCTCCTGTGGTGACGATCTGGGGCATGGTCAAATGCTCCTGATCATAACACATGATTGGTCATGTTTTATGCCAAGTCATCTCCCTAAAGAAAAGATTGGGATGCAAAGAAATGTCAACACTGTTTCTCCACAAAGGTGTATTTTTACACAGTCATACTGATAATTTCTTTAGTCAGGGGTAAATGCATTTTGCATCCTTTGATATTTTAAAATGAGATATTTCTTTCTGCCCCCATTTTATCAACTGATAACTCAAAGTACCTCTGAACTTAATTTGCACCCATCCATTTTAACAGTGGAAATGACTGGATAGAGTTTATTAAAATATGTTCATTTTAAACAATTTTACTTCAGTTTTTAAAAATTGTAAATTCATGAAAAACTGTTACAATGGCATGAGGTTGTAAATATTGCCTTATGAAATTATAAAGAAGTAAAATTGTGGAGTACAAACTATGAAATATCTTAAATTCAATTTTCACATAAAAAAATATATTTCTTATTGCAACACTGAACAGTTAAGGCCACAACACTTGAAGGAGAGTGAGTTTGAGATACACGTATTTTAAAACTGATGTTAAAATATTAAATAAATATCAGAACCGGTCGAACTGTTCAAACAAAATAAAATACATTAACTTATATCTTTAAATATCTACTATCAGACACTTTCCTTCAGAAGTTATAATTTTTTTTCAAGTATAAATTGCAATGTGATTGATGACCACAGAAACAAATTATGTTTTTATAGTATTGTACAAGATTTTGACCTGTCCACATCTGGTGGTCGTCGAGGATCCCGATGGTTTTGCCCCATGTGGTTCTGGTTGGCATCTTTCTTATCATTTTTAAAAGCTATTTGATCTCCTATTGGTTTTATCTCTGGGAGTGGCTTACTACTATTCTGTATGCTTTTCTGATTTGTCCATCACAGTCTTTTAAAGAGGAAAATCTAGGGAAAAAATACAAAAAACGAACAAAAAGAATTTGTTTCAGTAAGTGAAATACTTAGCAGTATATAGGTCATATTCTTTTCAACAAGTATTTTCATGATTTTATCCCATCTTTACAAGGCACCACATGTATAATGGTACATTCATAGCATTCATCAGTCTTTTTCCTTTTACGAAAATGCAGTCATGATTCTACCCTAAAACAAGACGTTTCTGGGTCTAACTTTAAATACCATCAACATCTTAGTAATACCTTATCATCATTCGTTGAAGAACAAGTTTAGTATTTCACTTTGTTGAGTTATAACAGGAAAAAAGATGAAAATTAAGGTATTATTTAATGTAACTTCTACATATAACAAGGATGGGTCATTTTGGGGGAATGTCTGTGATTCTCAGGGTATCCTCGACTTCTGATAATTTCTATGGTCATATTCCAGAGAAGGACATATCTCCCTATTCCTGTAGACCACAACTTCTAGCCAAACACCAGTGCTGCTACCTGAAGGCATTGTGAGCCCTGTGGTCCAAGAAGGTAGCTGAATCTACAGAACTGCTGCCCAGGGAAGGCAAAGGATGAAGATATGCAGAACATAGATAATAGATGGAGATATGAAAGTAGTCCCAACAACCCAGGGGTTCCAGATAGGCAGAAAAGTGAAGATAAAGAAAACAATTGAGGCAGAGTAAAGCATGAAAGTCAGGTAGAGGAAGAGGAACTAGCACTAAGGACCAAGGTTTGTATGAGTATAATTGAGAAAATGAAGCAATTCAAAAATCAGGTCAAGAAAGAAGGAAGTGGCCCAATGGGTCACATGTAGGAGAGATCAAGTAAAATGGTAACAAAAGTTTCACTTGATTTTGGCTCTTTGAGGATTTAGCCAGAGTGAAAATAGGATTCTTAGAGAGTTACAACAGAAATAAAGGTTGTGACAAAGTGCTAGAGACAAAAAACAGGAAACAAAATCCAGGTGAGGACATGACTCTTTCAGGAATCAAAATGATGCTAACAAAAATAGTTCACCTTTAGCCTTAGAGAATGGCGGAGCTAGAGTAAAAAGTGGTAATCCCAAAAGTCCAAAAGAGTCCATGGATTAAAATGCGGGAACTCTGTACCTGCTAAATATTTTGAAAAAAATCTGCCACTATAAAATGTCAAGAGATACTTTATAAAAAATATAATTTTCTAATATGAATGTAATCTCATAGGAAACAAAGGTAAATACCTATGGGCCAAAAAGTAAAGGGGCAGGTTCACTCAGAAGTTAGTGAATACGCCGAAATGGCATTTGTTGATCTCCTAGCCTAGAACCTGAGGTTAAATAAATTTGGTCTCACAGAATGTGGAAAATTGGAACTGAGATCCTTACATGATGTGAGCACCCTCTAAGGACTTGTCCTTAATGTTAGTCCGCCTATAAAAATTGTAAGATAACAAAATATCCTGGCCTGGTGTTTGAGTGAAGGAGAAAAATACTTTGCTAATGTGAGTTTGGAATTCATATTTACATGACCAGTGTGGCTGGGCAACCCTTAACTGAGAAAATGGCCTAAAATGGTTCTTTAGCCATTTCAGAGTTAACAGAAGCTAATACAAATTCTCTGTGAAAGGAATCACCCTAATCTAAGCCTTGTAGGATTTCTACAAAAATTTCCTAGTTGAATATGAACTCAAAATCCAAATTTCAAAACACACATGGAAACAAGACACCAGTAGCAAGTCAGCCGAAGCCATCTGTAGATTTAGGCTCCTAAAGATGTCTGACATTGGAACTGTTATATACAGATATAAAATAAGTATGACTAAATTATTTAAATTATTTAAAGCACTAGAATAAAGCATGTGCATAAAACAAGTACTATTTTTTTAGAGAACAGATTTGGAAAAAAATAAAAACTTCACTTAAAAATGTGAAAAATATAATCACTGAAATTAAAATGCAATATAAAGGTTAAATAGCAGAGTAGTCACAGCTGGAGAGAAACTATAAAATTAATGGAAGTCCTGAAATTACCCAGAAAATCACTTTAGACATGAAAAATATGAAAGTGATATTAAGACACATATGTGACAGAATAAAAAAGTTTATCAGAGTTTTAAAAGGAAAGAAAATATTCAAATGTATGATGCATGAGGTTTTGAAAGTTTATTTTATTTTGTTCATGATAGACATATAGTATATGCCCATGCACAAGAGAGAAAGAAAGGAGTACCTTCTCCAGGGTCTCATCAGACCATGATACCCCTTCTTAAAAAATAATTATTTCCTAAAGAGGTTTTCCTTTTCCCACTGGATTGACTGGTACCCTTTGTCAAAGATGAGTTGGCTCGATTTAATGTATGAATAAAGATAAAATATACATTAATTATTTATTTTTATCATTATCATTATTATTTAAAAATTTGCTATAGGGCATATGCATTCACCATAGAGAGTGAAGGAGAAAGAGAAAGCAAGCTGCCGGGTCTGGGACTCAAATTGCTAATAGCCATATGATTCCCTTTCTTCAGGGAGAAGAAGAATCCCAGAAAGGACATCTGTAAAATGTAAAAAATTTTAAAAAAGGATGGCAAGTAAAGAATATAAATAATGGAGCTGGCAGGTGGCATGATGGTTAGGGGTACTGGACTCCCACATGGCTGACTATGGTTCGAGTCCCAGACCTGGCAGCTTACTTTCTAACTTTCCCTCTCTCACTTTATCCCTCACTGGTCAAATGAAAATAAATAAATAAATAAATAAACAAACAAACAAACAAAGTTAAGTAAAATAATTCTTAAAAAAATGTAAAAAATAATATGATTTGTAAGTTAAAAAAATAAAACACAGTACAACAATTATAAAATAGAAAGGAACAGGTATTCATGGGAAAGAAAACTCTTCTAAGGTCCCAGTATTACTTGGGGAAAAAGAGAGGAACATCAATTAACTTTAGATTTTAGGTATGTATGTTATAAGTTTGAAAGACAAAGTGCAGCTTTATAAGCCATTTACAAGAGAGACATTAAAAACACAAGTAAAAGTAAAAGGGTTTAGAGCTCTAATGGGCAAATGCTAACCGAAGGAAAGCTATCATAATAAAAATATAAAACACTGCTTGAAATTCTTTACTTTTTGAGTTATAAAATGCATATTAGGAGGGTTAGATATTAATATGTGGATGACTGTATGACATATGCTACTGAAGGAACAATTCAAGACTTTGGTCTTAACACTAAAATGAAAAATTCATCTCACTTACCTTCTTTTGTTTCCTTATGTCTTTACTTGATGTTGGTTCATTATCTTCCAGTACTTTTGAAGTACCACTCCTTGCACGATCATGCATATTTCCTATAATTGGACACATTTAGGAATATTAGTTGTAGCTAACAAGAAACTGAAACTCTATCAACCCTGAGTTGTGGGTAACACATAAAGTGTTTACTACAGAAATAGCGAACAATGCCTACCCTGCATATTTCCTGAAAAGTTAAGGTGAAAAGCCCAAATTTACCTGAGTAATGCTGTAAATGTTTAAATTACCGGTATTCAAATATACAGGTAATAGTAAATGGTAGAGAAGACTTCTGTGAAATATAAATGACTGTTTTTATGGCTGGTCCTGTTACCTAGTGGCTCAGGGAGCTAAATCCCACATGGCTAATGGTGGTTTGAGACCTAGCCCTGGTGCCTTGAGAAGTCTGCCTCCAATTCTGAAGAGATGGGGAAGTGGAGAATAGGGGACTGTGGTGTGACCACGGCCCAATGAGGGGAGCTATCTCCCCCAACCTTCTCTCTGTCAGTCTCTGAGAAGCACACCTGCCCTTGGTCATTAGGTAACTCTTTTTATTAACCTACTTATAATCAAATTCCTTGGACTCAAATAGACATGTTATTTCTTGGTGTTTCAAATTAATTCACATATTACATAGTTGAGTAACAATATTTAAAATATACTTATGAAGCATAAGCATTCTTTTAATTTTATATAATCAACTACTTAAAACTTACCATTTCTTTTTAACATGTTAGGCTATTCGCTAAGAATACTAAGGGGTGAGGACCAGCAGTTAGCATAATGGCTATGTCGCTGGACTCCCATGTAGTCAACCGTGGTTCGCGTCCCAGACCCGGTGGCTTAAAACTCATGCAGGGCGCATGTGCATGTGTGCCCAAGATCCCGAGAGGAGAATGGAGGAGAAGGGATTGCGGCGTGACCATCCCCCCTGGGGGGTGATTTCTCGCTTTCTGTCTCTATGTCTCTGTCTGTCTGGCGAGTGCATGCACCCTATAGCAAAAAACTTTTCCAAAAAACAAAAAAGGATACTAAGGGGTGATAAATATTCTAACATCTTGGGACCAGCAGTTAGCATAATGGCTATGTCGCTGGACTCCCATGTAGTCAACCGTGGTTCGCGTCCCAGACCCGGTGGCTTAAAAATCATGCACGGCGCATGTGCATGTGTGCCCAAGATCCCAAGAAGAGAATGGAAAAGAAGGGAATGTGGTGTGGCCATCCCCCCTGGGGGGGTGATTTCTTGCTTTCTGTCTCTGTCTCTCTCTGGCGAGCACACACGCCCTATAGCAAAAATCGCTCCCCCCCCAAAAAAATCTAACATCTTGCCTAAAATATTCTAAAATCTATTACTCTTTTGGCAAAAGTTAGGAAGGAAAAAGGATTGAGGCAATTATTCCTTCCTCTGCTTAACTTTCAATCAGATATCCAGTATTATGGAGAGCTATTTTGAATAAGAACATTGTAATAAGCACACTGCAGTGTGATAGTATGGAAACATAATGGAGGAGGCATGCTGCAAAAATACAGATAATTTGGGTCTAGAAAATATAGGTCTCCAGGGCAATCATAGTCTTTTTTATTCCCTGGTGTCTGTTCTCTGACACTAAGAGATAAGCTTGGAAAAGAACTTCTCTTCAATTTCCATGCTAAGATCAGACTCAAGTCTGGGCTCTGGGAAAACAAATGGATGGCCCCTGTGGCTCAAAGCCAGTCTATGTACCTAACTTGGGCAATAAGTCTCGCAGTGCTCGCCAGAGATATGAAAGGTTTTCAAAAAATTCATAGAAAATGCATATTATTTTAAAAATCTATATGCAGATTTTTTTTTTTTGCACCAAAACAAACTCATACTTTAAATCCATTTTACCATGAGCTTTTTGAAGTCCCCTTGTATAAACTGGATTTGGGACAAAATCCAGATTAAATCATACTGGATGTGTAGAAAAAAAAAAGGTAGTAAATAGGCTGTCCTAAATCCTTTAACACTGACACATAAACAGCCATGAGTAATGTGAATATTTGTAAGTAAAGAAGTGATGGTGGTTATAAATGAGATCGAATAAGCCTGTATTACCTGCTTCATAGGTTGTTATGAGGGTCATGTGACAGGAGAAAGTATAAAAGAGAATATATATATGTGTAAGTTTATTAATTACACAATCATAGCACATATTGGCAGACGTAAGTATGTATGTATGCATATATGTTATGTATCTAGCCCTTTAAAAACTATGCTTTTGCAGTCAAATGTGCTCATACCTTTTGGATTTTCATTATATTCATGAATGGCCCGGTCTAGTAGGCTGGTTTTTTCTTCCTAAAAAAACAATAGTAAAGCAGTATGACAAGGAACACACATATATGCTATGTTAGAAATCCTAGTCTTGATTTTAAAACAGGTTTCCAGAGTCTGCCCCGAGCTAATGACATAGACATGTGATAATTACTTCACTCTGCTGGGATCTTATGAAATGAGATGCCTTAGATGCTGAAAGGCAAAGGTCCTTATAGCTTAGAATTTTATGATTAAGAAAAAAATTGTATGATTCAGAAATTCTCCTCAAGGGAGATACAGGAAGACTATCTGGCATATGACTCATCTCAACATTTTATAATATCATATTGACATTTAATGATTCCTATGTTAAAGAATTTTAGGAACCATCCTAACCTGAACTCATTAATGCTCCCCATAAATAGAATCGTTCATCCCCTCTGAAAGAAAATAACTACTAGAACTTTTTTTTCCCTCAACAAGAGTCTTGGAAAAACAAGAACTAAAGAAAATAATGACCTGAACAGTGCAATACCATTTTGTTAATTAAAAATAGATGCACACAGGGCCAGCTGGTGACATAGTGGTTAAGGTGCTGGATTCCCACATGGCTGACTGTGGTTAGAGTCCCAGACCCAGAGGCTTGAAAAATCATACTGGGATCATGTGTGTGCGTACCCAAAATTCCAGGAGAAGTAGGCATTGTGGCATAGCCATCCCTCCTGGGGGTGATTTCTTACTTTCCTCTCTCTGTCCTCTCTGTCTCTGTCTGGAGAGCGCATATGTCCTATGGCAAAAACCTGAAACAAAACAAAACAAAAACTGGTACACACATAATAACACACATTTTACAAGTATGCATCCAAATAAACAGATAGTTTCAGTGGTTGTCTGTAACTGGAACAAGGAGAATGGGAATGGGACTAAACAGGAACAACACAGACCACTGATGAGGGTGTTTAATCAACTGGAAGGCATGGCTAACTCAGTGCTGTACATAAGGGATCCAAAAATGAACATGAAAAAAAATCAATAAAATGCCATTCAGTTTAGATTTGGGAATTCCACCTCTGAAATTAATCCAGAGTAGTGTTATCAAACAAATTATTTCAAACCTACCAACTGTGTTTCAGCAGAGACATTCTTAGGCAAAACTACCAAATGACAGGGATTATGGTTTTGGCGCCCCCTAGCTCCACTTTCAGGATGATTTTTGCTTCTTCAGTGATACCTCCTCCTATCCCTCTTATATTTCATCTAAACTGCATCTGTGAAGGACTGATCACAACCTCAAATATTACTGTGGTCAACTTACATTTGTCCATATACACCTAATCGTATACACGTATGTGTGCGCAAACGCATCTCATTTCGGCCACCGGTGCTGGGGTCCCTAGCTGTGTATTTTTAGTACTTCAAGGACTGGGTGCTAAACTTCTTGGTTAATTTCCCAGTACTCTACTATCTTGCCTATCCCAGTCAACTTCCATTCATGTGGGGTACAGAATGCTACCAAGCAGTGTGGAAAGTGTGCTGCAGACAAAGTATGCCTGGTTCATAAATTAGCCAATGCCTTTCCTATGGTACATGAATGAAGTTATTCACAGAAGTATTTCATCTCCCCAAGGAAAGTAGGATCTGGCCTCTGCAGGGACCAGGAGACCCATGTACTTTCTCTTAGGCAGCGTCCTAGGATTTAAGCAGTGATCATCATACCTTTTCCATGGTTTTAACGGAGTCATCACTGGTTCTTTCAGACCCTTCTGTTTCACTATGGTCACCTATAGGAAAACCTTCATCATCTGCCACAGATTTCTTCTCACTTTATAGGTTTTCAGAATCAATATCCTTATTCATATCTTCTGGTTCTACTTCTGTAGTTTCTGAACATTCGTGATCCTGTGATGAAATTGATCATCAGAAAACAGTAAGATCTTATTCTTTTAAAAGACAGAGACTTAATATTGCTGTCATAGATAATTTATAACAGCTCAAAGAACACATGGAATATTAATTCAAATACTAATGTCAAAAAAATGATACTGAATAATCCATGTTGAATATGAAGTTACTACTGGGTTGTCAGAAAAGTTATGATGTATTTTTCTATGTTTTTCTATGCAAAAATGCATCATGACTTTTCTAACAATTCAATAGACTATCTAGAAGTTTATGTACGCTGTTCTATTTCAGCAACTAAGATACCCTAAATCCTATTAGCACCTATGGCAAGGTTAAAATGAAAACAAAACAAAATCAGCTTTCTTGGTTGGCTCAAAAGAGTGCTTTTAAATTTGAGAGAAGTTACAAAGCTTTTTATCCATAATAGCATTATAACATAATCATATCTGTGTATTATGTTCATTTTCTAAAACACAGGGATTTAGAATCACTTCAGCAGTATAATTCACTGATATTCATGAGAGAGAGAAGTATAATTATTTAGATTCCAAGAAAAAGATAAAGGAACACACTCTAAGTGGTTCACTCTTGGTTATTAAAAGCAGTGGGGAAACTAAACAGAAGCAGAACTATCTGGCTACTGGCCAGCTAAGCCATATTGTAAAACAACCTATCTATGGATTATATAATGTTATTAAATATGGGCAGAATATATTAGTTTTAGCCTTTATTTTATCTTGAGTTATTTTCCCCCCCATTTCCTATTTTGGGTAGAATATGCCTATTAACTGTCATTAAGAGATTAGGGTCCTTATTGGATTTTTCCCCTGTGATTTTCATTTACGCACTTCACTGAAGTTAAAAAGCCTCTAAAATAAGTGAAGCAGTAATCAGTGCAATATATTTCCTTGAATAATGGTTGTATAAAGTTCACCTTGGCAATGTCTGCTTTAGATCATACATACCCTTTCCATCTCCTTCAGTACTGTAACTAGCTTTAGGTGCATTTCCTAGTGGCTGTCTGGCTAAGGAGAAAGCCTGACACCCATTAGAATCTTTAGCAGAAGGTTGGAAAAGATGCCTCTGGTAATTAACTTTTTTTTTTCTGGTACAAATATAAAAGGCAAGAGTTCAGACTAGAGGGAGGATGTTTATATTTCACACCTTAGTAATAAATACAAGAGGCATCCTCAGATCAGGAGCACTGAGGAAGTGGCTTAAAACAGCATTCCCACTGAGGACAGGCAACCTGTAAACAAAGCCTTGAGATTTAAAAAAAGAGTTTCAGAAGTTACTATGGGAGAACTTAGGTTAATCCACGGTCATGAGGCAGTGTTTGTAAGAGGGAAGACAGGAGAAAGGAACATATTACCATGGCAGATAGCTACAGCAAAAGATGATTAGTCAGGTTGGACAGGGGTAACCACAAGGTAGCTACCACTTATCAATAATTTCTAAAGCTTTTTTTTTCCAGCATGATTTCCCCTCTAAATGACTTATACTGTATATTATACTTAGCTACATGTTTATTATGGGCAGCTAAAATGATCAGAGACAACTTTACTCTGAAAGGGAATGGAAAGCAACACTGATAGATTTAAGAACAAAGGCTGATAAACAGATGTATTCATAAATACATAGAAGTGAAATGCTAACTAGAAAGAACAGTGTCCCGGAGATAGAGAATCTCAGACTATGCCCTTCTGTCTTACACAGGGAGGGTCAGTCAGCTGTGTCCCAGCCTAGTCTCAATTAGTTGGAGAGGTGGGCTAACCTGAGTCAGTACCAGCAGACTGGTTAACTAAAGTATTACAGTAATCATAGGATAATACCATACTATTATAAAAAGGAACTTGAAAATTCAGTTTTTTAGAAATTTTGAAAGTGGTTTATTAACTGTCAAGAACTATGGAGTATGAGAAAAACTTTTTGATATGTAAAGTAAATGTGGGAAAATGTACAGTAAATAAATGTTTTAAAAAAGGAGCATGGGAGTTTTACCTTATTTTAGCAATAAAGCAAACACCCATCCCATATAACAAATTATAATTTTATACATTAAGAAAATCTATAACAAAGAACTACAGGAATGATATCATTTTTCTAAATTTGAGAAAGCTAATAGAAAATGATATTTTTCACTAGAAATCACATCATTGTAGCACTTTGCACTTATTAAAGCACATGAAAAATTATTCTACACACATCTGGACAACTACTTTAGGTCATAGAAAGTACTTACCTTCAAACTGAAATAATTTAGGAGAGATTGGCTGAATACTGTCATTTTATAAAAAGAAAGGGTACAGTTTAAGTACATTCTTGGCACCAGAACCATGTAAGATGGAAAGAGATAGTCTGTCTAGGATGGTCAAGCATGTGTCTTGTGTTAGGGCCACAGGAAGGGGGCCAGTGGGCCTGACCTCTCACTGAAGCACTCTTGATCCATTGGTTAGACACAGCATAGCAAGCTACAGTCTTTGGTGTGGCCCAGGGCACTCTGTATTTCTTATAGGAAATATCAGGAAGATAAATGTTCCTCCTGAGGTTTTGGTTTGCTTAAGAATAAAATTACACTGCATGCTTTAAGAGCTAGAGATTGCTATTAGAAGTCAGTATGGTTGTTAGGTGGGGGTGGAAAATGACTGGAAGGGGCCTGAAGAGCCCCAGTTCTGGAGAGCTGCTACTGTCCTTTCCCCAGATTTGGATGCTGATCAATTTGTGATGGGTGTGTTTGGTTTGTGAAAAATACACTGGCTATACATGTATGAGATGTACATTTTTCCCCATGTATATTAAAGTTCTTTTAAGGTAAAAGAGCCTGACAAAACTGGAAAGCACATTCTGTGCTACAAATCTAGATTTATGACATGTCTCAATGTCATATAGGCTATAAAATGCTTTAATACAGTGTAATACCCTGAAACCCCCTCCTTGGCTTGGGCAGCACCTCTCTTTCTTAGTTTCTTCCCCACCTTCTTTCTCAGACTTCTTTTTCTCAGCCTCCCCCCTACCTAATGATGTTTGCCTGAATCTGGCCTTTAGTTTTCTCTTTTCATACCTAGGAATGCCTCCTCTTGTTCAAATACAGTTTTAACTACATCCCCTGAGCTCCATACTTACACATGTGTCTGCCTACCAAGCATATTGTGGAGACAATCTGAAATCTCCCAAACCTGATCATACTCCTCTACTCTCAATCTTGGTGAACAGCATTATTTCCACTTGGTTCTCTAGGCCAGAAACAAGAAACTCTTAGCCCATTCCCTCCCTCCCAGTTACATCTCTTAACTAAGCCTTCCAATGTTACCCCTAAATCTCTCGATAATACATGTCCCCATCTTTATATCCTCACTGTCCTAGTCCAGGCCCTCTTTATTCCTTACCTGGTCTACTCTAACTGCCTTCTAATGTTTCCCTGACTCTTGTCCTGTCCCCTCCCAACCTACCCTCCATAATGCTGCCAGAATGATTTTAGAAAAACTCAAGTGTAGTCAATCTACAATTTTGGTTTAGCATGTTTTACAAACACAAAAGACCTTTTCCCTCTCTTGCTAGAACCGAAGTTACAATCTGGCCACAATCACGCCAAAACACTCTTAATGACTCCCTCACTAGCCTGGAAAGCCCCCTTCCCAACAACTGCTTTGCTTGGTGAAGTTTTACTGGACATGACTCAGTTCGAGTTTCACTACTCACTCCTTGGAAGCCCTTTCCTAACTTCTCTCTGTTGTAGCTGAAGTTATACTCCCAAAGCTCTCCACTGTACCAGGCAATGTTCTACTCAGCCTACAGAAATAGCTGAAGAGTTCTTTGAGACTAGGAGCCATACTGAGACACGGAATCATTTTCTTCTCATTAATTATGGGATTTAATGGAGGAAAGCCATAGATTTTCTTTCAGACCATATTTTTATCTTTGAGGAGCCCTGACAAAGCAAAGGAGTAGCAGGAAACAAAAGGGAACTGTTAAGAAACAGTTAAGACAGAGACACAGGAATTCCTGTTATCTGGTATTATTAGAAGAAATATTGTAAAGTCCCTAACAGAACCACAGAAAGTTAGGTGTAAGCTGTTCTCACCTCTGGAGAGCTACCTGACTTGAGAAGATTCTATTTTTTTTTTATGTTAGGAATAAAAATACTTGTTGAATGAACAATATGTATTAAATATTAAGTTATGTCAGGGCTGGGCATACACTATCACATTGCATTTTCACAATGAAAAGAATGAAGGAAGGAATTATAGCACCGTCCTTCAAGTCACATTTTATTTTTGATATCCAAGGGGACTTCAATAAAATGGAAAAATGGAATTAAAATGAGCTTATTTTGGTACAGAAAACTTTTGAAATCCACACATAGTTATTTCCATAATAAACATAATATACATTTTCTGTGAACTCTGTGAAGCCCCCTCACAGAGTGTACGGCAAGTTTATCTATAGCGAAGTAAGAGAAGACATTGTGATTGCACTCACCTGGAGTGCTGCTGTTCAGCAGCGGCAGAAGCTTCTGTGGTTGTCCTTTGCAGCTTACCTTAAACAGTCTTTTCAGCTAGAGTTCTCATGAGGAAACTCTAACTCAGTGGATTCTAAATACACAACTCACACTTCCCTCAGTAATGATCAGTGATAAACTACAGTAAGGGCTGAACAACCAGCAGATGGAGATGACAAAGAAAAAATCAGGTTTTAATCTACGTAACCAAGTATTAATTCGTGAGGGACAAAGTGGTCTAATTCTGAAGCTTTCTTTTCTTTCTCTCCCAAGATATATAAGATTTACATTTTTTATCCCCTAGCCCTAACCAGCAACAAACTCCTCTTCATATACTTCTACAGGGTACTAGATCTGCCACATGTATGATTAAACAAATGTTCGCTGAACAGTAGGCACAGAACGTTGGTATGCTTAGTTTAGGATGATGCTTCCTTCAATATAACTGCTAGTTAGCTTGAAGGTGGGGTAGTTTTAGCGACTAGATTCAAGACTGTTTACTGAAGGAAAGGCATACTAGAAATTCTGTTTGTGACAAGGCCTACCTAGTAATGAACAACTTGTTTGTACAGAATCACTTAGGTCACCCATTCTAACCCTATACGCATTCAGCTGAAAAAAATGAGGCCTGCAAAGCCTAAGAAGTTTACCATCAAAATCCTCCTTGGTAAAAGCAAGTGTAAGAAATCTCTCATGTCCAAGATATGGAAGAGACTGGGAAAGGAAATCGATTGAAAAGGGAGCCCTGGGGAACCAGCAGTTAGCGTAATGGCTATGTCACTGGATTCCCATGTAGTCGACCATGGTTCGCGTCCCGGACCCAGTGGCTTAAAAAACCTCACGCCGGGCACGTGTGCGTGCGTGCCCAAGATCCCAAGAGGAGAATGGAGGAGAAGGGATTGCAGTGTGACCATCCCCCCTGGGGGGTGATTTCTCGCTTTCTGTCTGTCTCTCTATGTCTGTCTGGCGAGTGCATGTGCCCTGTAGCAAAAACCTCTCCAAAAAAAAAGGGGGGGGAGCCCTGACTAAACAACAAACAAACTATTGGGTTGTTGTTCCATGACACAATTTTGCATAGAAATACATAGAAAAAGTATATCGTGACTTTTCCAACAACCCAAGAGTTGTACTACATACAATGGAAATATTAAGGGAGGATTGAAATGACTGTAATAGAAATCTAGCCTCTTTAAAATTCAGTATCTAACATCAATTTGCTCTTTCAGAAACAACTGCTGACTGTGTATATTTAATTTTTATTTTACTTGAAATACTCAATGAGCAATAGACAAACCGAGAATTACAAAATAGCAGATGAAGAATATGTTGAGGACACATACCAGACCTTGGGAAGGAAGGTGGTAACAGGACAGTTAAAGTTCAGAAAGTATAGGAGTTTGGAAATACAAATTACAGAAGATAAGAGATATAAAAGCAATGTCATAACTTTTCAAGAAGAACAGTATTTTATATAAAACTAATTTTGAAGTGTAATTTTTCTCCCTTAAAAAGTTTTCTATGCAAATAACAAAAATGATAGAGTAAAGCAGCCTGTCAGAATGAAAAGAATTTAAGAGTTAGAAGGGACAATAGTTATCATATCGATTATCTATCTCATTTACTCCTTTTTACAGATGGAGAAACCGAGTAACTGAGTAACTGCCTGGCTGATAAAAACTTACGGTTTTATGTACTTGCAGATTATATGTGTAAACTAATTTCCATTTCATTAGATATACTGCCATCTGCCTAGACAGTCACTGCAAGGGATCACATGATCAGGATCTAAGTTCTAAGTGTAGCTGGTACTATGTAGAGTTTTGTAAAAAATGATACATGAAAAGGAAAAAGATAATGCTATTTCTTTAATATGTGAATTTCTCATCTTAATTTTAGAACACTATCCATTCTTACCAAAATTATTCTACATGGTAGGTAAACTGTCATTACAGAATGAAAAAAGTGCTAATATATTTGTAAGAAATTAAAGTTTTCATAGACCTTAAGAATGTGCCATTTTTAAAAGGATCACCGGGCTGGCAAGTGGCATGGTGGTTAAAGGCGCTGGACTCCCACATGGCCAACCATGGTTCAAGTCTCAGACCTGGTGGCTTGCTTTCTCACTTCCTCTCTCTCTCTCTGTCTCTCTCTGATCAAACTGGAAAATAATAATGATAATAATAATAAATAAAGTTAAATAATTAAAAAAAATAAAAAAAAGGATCACCTTGTACATACAAATAAAATACTCTTATATTCCTCTTTCCAAAATTTGTCCTTAACGATGAAAATATAATATATAATAACATATAATATATAACCTTTGGCATTTTCCAGTTATAGATTTATACACCAAGTTATAGAAAAATACTCCGAAGTACTAGTTTACAAGGAGCCAAACTGACTCCTTAACTCAACTGATATCAGTTGTTTTTTGACCACATGTAAAAAACCCATGACATGAAATCATGTAATAAAATATAACAAGTGCCTATTATGTGCAAGGTGTCCAAATTGTTTGGCTGGCCATAATTGGGTCACAGTTAAAGTTTGTTACTTCAATTCCAAATAATGTGGTAATACATTATTCCAGAATTTTTTGGAACCTGGTGGCCCATTGTCTACAAGTTGTTTGGACTGCACTGGCATTCTGAACCTCTGCTCTTTCCCCTTTCCCTGTGTGTTAGTAATCAACTTTTTTCGGTAAGTTCTATGCTTGTCATATTTCACAGATGCTTTTACTCTGCTGACTAGTTTTGACTCTTTATCACCTTGCCTTTCCTGTTTCTCATTTTCTTCATCACCTGTGTCTTCGTATTTTTCCTCCTCTTCCTCGTTGTCCATCTCTTCCTCCTCTTCCTTTTCTACACTGCCCCCATTTTCTTCCCCTTCCTTCTCCCTCCTTTCCCTTTCTTCCTCTTCCTCATCTCCTTCCTCCTCTCCTTCTTCTCCTTCCCTCCCCCTTTCCTCCCCTTCCACTTCTCCTTCTTCCTCTCCTTCTCCCTCTCCTTCCTCCCCTTCCTCTTCTTCATCTCCTTCCACCTCTTCTTCCTCTTCTCCTTCTTCCTCCCCTTCCCCTTCTCCTTCCTCTTCTTCCTCCCCTTCCCCCTCTCCTTCCTCCCCTCCCTCTTCTTCCTCCCCTTCCCTCTCTCCTTCCTCCCCTTCTTCTCCTTCTTCCCTCTCTCCTTCCTCCCCTTCCTCTTCTTCTTCCTCCCCTTCCTCTTCTCCTTCTTCCTCCCCTTCCTCTTCTCCTTCCTCCCCTTCCCCCTCTCCTTCCTCCCCTTCCTCTTCCTCCCCTTCCCCCTCTCCTTCCTCTTCTCCTTCTTCCTCGCCTCTTCCCTCTCCTTCCTCCTCTTCCTCTTCTTCCTCCCCTTCCTCTCCTTCTTCTTCCTCTTCCCCATCTCCTTCCTCTTCCCCCTCCTCTTCTCCTTCCTCTTCTCCTCCTTCCTCTTCCCCCTCCTCTTCTCCTTCCTCTTCTCCTCCTTCCTCTCTCCCCTCTCCTCCCTCCTCTTCCCCCTCTTCTCCCTCCTTTCCCCCATCTCCTTCCTCCTCTCCACCCTCTTCCCCCTCTCCTCCCTCCTCTTCCCCCTCTCCTTCCTCCTCTTTGCCCTCTCCTTCCTCCTCTTCACCAGCTCCCTCCTCTTTGTCCTGTCCTTCCTCCCTCCCATCCTCCTCTTCCTCGTCTCCTCCCTCTCCTTCCCCTTCTGTTCCCTCCCTTTCCCCCTCTCCTTCCTTTCCTCTATCTTCTCCTTCCTCCTCTTTCTCTCCTTCCTCCCCTTTCTCTCCTTCCTCCCCTTCCTCCTCTTCTTTTTCTCCCTCTTCCTCTTCTCTCTCCTTTTCTCCTCCCTCTCCTCCCCCATCACCTTCTTCCTCTCCTTCTTCCCCTTCTCTTTCCCCCCCACCTTCCCCTCTTTTACCTTCCCCTTCCCCCCCCCCCCCCCCTCTCCCCCC